ACTCTTAATAAGGCAGTGGTCCGAGGAGCCAATTGGAGCGTCAACAGATATGGAGTAGCCGGTTCATGACTCTCGACATCTGGGATTCGCGTAGGCGAAGTGACCAGTTGTGTCAAGTCCTGTGCAAGAGCGAAGTCGTGAATAGATCTCCCTGCATGATCGGTCTTGCTAGAACCAAGCCATTCGGTATGATGAGCTTTAAAATCGTCCAGCCATTTGGACGTGCTCGATGAGTCGGTCGGTTTCGGCATCGCCGTTATGGGACCTATAGAGGCACGAATAGATGCGGGGGCGGTCGTTGCTGTCTACACGAAGCCATAGGATAGACTGGTCCCTACTGTCAAGGTGACCAAGGCGCCGAGAACAAATATCGTCTCTGACGTACACTCATATATATACCGGCCTTTGGTATGAAAGTGTGCTCCAGTCCGTACCCGGGGTAGGACAGGTAAGGAGTATCCGCCGGAGACGATATCTGCGTCTCGGTCAAAAAGAATAAGAATACGAGGGGCGGCCTGGGCGTCCACGCCCAGGTATATTGCACCCTGGAAGTGGATGTCCGGGGAGGGATTCCCCAAGGCTAGCGCAGTTGGAACCCTCCTGGGGTAATAAATTGTTTCTTTTCGACTGCGCCATCATAGGGCGGGAAGGGAGGGTTGGGCCTCCGGTACCCTCACTCACACGACGAACATATTGTTATTGTTGAAATTAAGATGAATTTCAAGAAAGTGCTAGTACCAGCAATGGATACTAATAAGGATTATCACCACTACAATTTTGGATACTTTTTTAAATATTTTCATATATTTCATATAGATTAGACATGAAGATAGGGCTAGTCAGTTGAGATGACTTAATGACGACGGCACTTCTTACTGGATCCTTCCCCCAAAAGAGAGAGTGTGCACGGAAGGCGGTAAGTTGGTATGCTATCCGCGTTTTGTATAGCCTTCGGGCGAGTCCGTGCCGATCAAATCGCCTGTTGACTGTCAAGCGGCTAGAATAGTGCATAAAACATTCCCTTACGTCAAACAAAAAAGGTGAAATGAGTCAGATGATAGTGATAAACATTTTTAACTACTGTAAAACAACATTTTTCCACCTAGTTTAGGGAACAATTAGGTTTGATAGGTTTAGAAGTGGTGTAAGTGGAACGTTGAACAACGGAGTCACGGCTAACACGTGAAATAAACGGGTACTAGCAGGGCCTTAACTATCTGACTGCCCTTATATGGAGCTTGTCCCACTGCTATGATTTTTAATTTGAATTGAATTAAATCAAAAAGGGGAAATGGACAATTTATGGACCACCGCGCGGACCCTGTGCGAATTAGTGTTGGTGAGTGAAGATGTAACCGGGACTATACTTTAACGTACTGCCAGAAACACCATGGAGCTGGATATAGTGAAATTTGGTCACCCATCCTACGACCGTTATGATACCATCGTTTCGTTTCGCTGTTTCGTTACAGAATAATAAATATCAAATAATTTTCAGGGAATATTAACAAGATTATGTCTTAATCACAAGCTTTCTTTTACTCAATGAATATGACAGTAATATTTTTACCCGACTGGGCAACGCAAAGGAGGGTAATGTGATTATGAGTCTATGTATATATGTTTGTTCTTTTATGGTATTGTGGAGACCGAAATAGGCTTGGCGTTTTTTGATGATTTAAACGTCAGTCGCTGCGTCTTAACCTTGCGAGTGTCACTAAATACATAACAGTAAGCAAAACTTTTTTAGGGTATCTCCTCTACATGTATAGAGGTGATGTTTTTTTTTTCGATATCCCTATAGCTTGAGATATTGTTGGATAGGTCTTTCAAAAATATTATAAGTATACGAAGACCGTTTTTAGATATAGTGCGCTGTTCCGAAATTATTAAGATTTTGAGTGCCAAAAACTACTTTGGACCGAGCTGTGGTTGTCTTAAGTTCGCGAATTTTTTAAAGCCGAATTTGAGCCGAATTAGGCCTCTAGAGGGACTAATAATCAGTAGTTTAGACCACTGTAAGTTGCTTAATAATCCTTACGATATAAACTCCCTCAATGTTTACCGTCTTATATTTCTCATAACGAAGTCAATGAGAACTAATTAAAAATGTAAAAATAAAATTTTTATTATAAACAACACAAAACTCCAAAACGAAAGAAAGAAGTGAACCAATATATAATTACTTTCGCTAAAAACTAAAAAGAAAAAAACAAGCCCTGGAGGCCTACTCGCTTTCTCGAAAACGTAATTTCGTTTACGAACGAAATTAAAACGAAATTTCGCATGTAACGCTACTCTATATCATTTTCGTATACACCAAGAATGTTCGATTCCAAAGACAATTTTCGTGATCGATTGGAGTGAATGGCGTTATTGGATTTCTTATAATGTCAAATTCCGGTATAATTAATATATATAATATTAAACAATACATATATTTCTTTTAAATAAAATTTTAGTGGCTAAACATTGTTTAAACATAAAATATTATAATAATATAACGAAAAACTTAGTATATTAATGAATTTTATTTTTCGTTACAACTGATCAAGACACTATAAAGAACTCTTTTATCCACAGTATTAACCGACATATTTAAAAACAACCTTTCATTTATACGATGGCTATAATCAACGTATGGCAATCTTAAATATCCGTATAATACAAACGAATCTCATCCCGCCAAAAGTTTTACAAGTTTTCACCGAACTGTTAAGTGTTTACTAATATTTTATTTAATTATTGTGAGTTCCGAAATTTATCTTGACAATTCAGTAAAAAACTTTATAAGTAAGTATGAAACTAATATTTAGTTTTTCGGCAAAAAAAAAGGTTTTTAGTTATAAATTTACTTTTTATCAGTCATTTTTTTCAGGTATAATGGCATAGCCTATATGCCTCGTAAAATCTGTAATATTAATGACATAATTCTATAGGTATTTATTCACAATTCATACATAAAACCAAAATAAACAATAAACTATTAGGTACTCACTGTCTCTTAATAAGATTCCTTTCATTTTGGTTTTGACGGAATAATATATTTTCATATAATACCTATCTGGTGAATTGAGGACAGTCCTAACCTCTTAACACCGTGAAACTGTTTATTGGGCCATAGGCCCATCCATATGAGATGGATATGAGTTTTGAGATACGAATCATTGGTAACTACCTCGGGCACAAAAATTCAACGCTGTAAGAATCATAAAAATATGAAATGCATAATGGTAGACATGCAATTATTTTTATCAAGAACTACGATAAAATATCTTCCAACTTTAATTGTGGACTCGATGGCATGAGATCTTGCCTGTAGACGCAGTAAAGGTATAATCTCCTGGCATAGTTCTTGAAATAATTCACAACTGAGTCTGTAATTACTTATAAACCCAGTGTCGAGAATATTTCTTATATTAAGGCTATTTCGAAGCCGCCGCCGATTTCTTCTACTGTCTAATCGTTCTTTACTGAGAGCTGCCTCGATTAATAATAATATAGACCCCATTTTGAAAATAAAAAATTGCTAACGAAAATGAAAAGGTAACATTTTTTACTTCGTCAATTTGAGGTAAGAATTCCGAACAATTAGATGTCAAACTCAAATGTTCGTTTTGTCATTTCGTGAAATAGAGTAGGTTTAGAAAATAAATATGTCAAACATTTTCGTTCGTTGAATATTCGGAACGAACGTAATTGTGGTAGGAAACGTCCGAAATTTCGAACGAAATTTCGTTTTTCGGTGAATTAGAGTAGGCTTCCAGTAGTTTGGAATGTTTTTGAATACGTCTTTATAACTACTCCATTGAAATAGTTTTAAAATCTATTCACATATAAAACATATATAACAGTCAAGATCCATTACTTTTTGACCAATCAACGGAGCTCTGTATAATTTGAATCGCTCCGGTTTTTTGTTTTTCTTTCAAGTTGTAATTAAATTTTTACTTTCAATTTATATTAAAATATTTACCTGTGTAAGCTTGAAATTTTCCATTGATCTACATTTATTGAACAGACACCCTGCAATAAATCCAACTATGTAAGCCGCTGCCCTGTTGTGACTTTTTATGTAGAACACGAAATACTGTTTATGGCTACGGGTATTCGACACGAATCTGTCAAATGAAGTATGTGATTAGGTAATGTAGAAATACATTTCTTGCAATGTTCACTATTACATCTTACATTATATCACGCATTCAAAGAAAAAAAACAGTAAAAAGGTTTGGAGACAGGAGTGTATTTTAGTATCGATAACTGAACTACTTGAATGCTTATTATTGTATTTGATCAATTTTTCATTCAAGATACTATACTAGCCGGGATTGCGAAAGGTCCTGGGACAAATGGATTATTTAGACATTTTCCATAAAGAATACTTGAATGCTGCCAGGACTATATGGAGTGACCAAATGACTTCTAACAGCTATAATTGACATGTTCTGTATATGTTAAAGTTACCTCGTAAAATTATGTCATCAACATCAGTCTGTTACGCAATATTGATTTAACCTAGTTTATAATTTTGATGACACAGATACTTTTCGTAAGTTTACGATTCCCGTGAGTTTTATTTATTTATTTATTTAACAAACTTTATTGTACATTAAATTGGTACAAGAGGCGGACTTAATGCTATTAGCATTCTCTACCAGTCAACCTTTGGGATACAGAAATACACGATGGCGGCATAAAGTTAACTTATAAATATACTACTTAAACTACACTTTAGAAGAATTTATATACAATTATATAAACATAAATAAATATTATACTACACATAAACATAAGTACATATACAAATACATAAATATAATACATATATGATGATGATCCTCATAAACGTTCCAGGAGAAAGGTGTGAGCTTTCCGTTTAAAGACGAATTTGTCGGGAGATTGTCTGATTGTGTCGGAGATTGTCTGATTGTGTAGTTTTATATATTTTTTTAATATTTATGTTTTTCATTGATTACTTTTATCAAAGCAGGACTGTTCTATTGCGGAAAGTGATAAGCTTTGATCATTTTACGAGGAATGTAATCCTCCCGCAGCAAAGAGAAGACATTATAAAGGTACTCAGTCGCTGCTACAAGAGACCTAGAATTAAATTCAGTATCCGAGTCAATTTTTGAAATTTCCAAGTTTATCTCATCGTAATCCCCTTTATTATAAAGATATTTAAGATGTGGAGCACTATTTAAAGGGGTAAAGTTCGCAAACAGTGGTCCAATAGACAAGGCGCCGTGATGAGGGTTAATCGGCACAAGTGGGCTATCACTAAAATCAGTTACTTGTAAAATCTCATTAGAAAAAACAAGATCTAAAATTCTACCGTAAGTATTTCGTACACCATTAAACTGTTTAAAACCAAGAGTAGCGATCTCGTCTAACAATAAGGTCTCGTCGCATGATCTAAACTTAGAAGGCTCAAAGTAACAGCCATCCACGTTGCTCCAAAATTATACCACTTAAGTTGAAGTCAACTATCAAAAGAAATTTATCATAAGAATGGTTTAAAACCACACCATTTAAGCTGTTTAAGTAATAAATATTATAGAATGTTAAACACGTTTTTTGAATAATACGTAATTAATAAATTAGGATCCGTCCATTAATCACGTGAGGCTCGAAAGGGGGGGAAGTGAAGTGATATATCACGTGTATTTATTTTTTTCTCAAACGCGCGATTACTAAATCGAAAAGCGGCGTCAAAAATTAGGATTCTTTGAAGGCACTAAAATTCACGTTATTTGGGTGGAGGGAGAGGAGGAGGGGTTGTTAGTCTTAAACGTGACGATGTATTATCAAGGGGGAGGGGGGGCTTAAAAAATGCTGAAAAAACATCACGTGATTAATGGACGGCACCTTATAGCGAAACATTGAGTTGAAATGTCACATCTTTGTACATTTCCTACATAGTTGCGACAGAGCGAGCTCCCACTCCCCGACTTTAATGCCTTTTATCTAAGTTATTAGCAAAAAAACTACGTATCAAATATTTTTCTATTATCTGACTGCCCGACTAATTTGAATTTCTTTACCCAGGCATTATCCTTATTCTTACGGTATAGAACTTGTTCCTTCCTTTATTTACTTACTCATATGTGAAGGGTTGAATGGCGTGAAATCCATTAACGTAGTTGATAACTCCTGGTATAATAAGAGAGGCAGCAGCCAGAGCATAGAAAATGACTTTACCCAATCTCCGGCATCGTTTATAAAGCACGAACACAATCACAGCGATAACATAAAAGTGAAAATCACATGGAATGTACCAAGTCACAATCAAACACTGAAATGTATAAAAATAAATAATAATTAAAAAAAAACTTATTAAAATGTCTTGAATTGTCCAACATTTTTCAGGTAGATAACACTCATTCAGTCTTATGCCTGATAAGAAGAAATTCGCCAGTTCTAACAGAAATAACAACGTTTACAAACACCATGTCACAACCAAATCATTAGCATAATGAATTAATTATATATGTATAACAGACAACTAACTTTATAAGGCCACTTTCCATCAGAATAATAAGTAAAAAGAATACAAAATATGATCGCTTGTGAATTTAAGTATATATATTTTCTTATTTCTTTATTTTGAACGGTTTTAATCCTTTAAGATATCTTAACCCCATATATAACATTATAAAACGGGAATGATTTATTTGTTTGTTAACATTGAATAGGCTACAACACCGACTTACTTAGTTACTTATTAATTTATTCAATTAATCATTTGCATTGAATTCATTAATTACATTAGGCCATTGTACTATCTACCTAAGACATTATTTAATTAGTTTAATGTCTTCTTTAAAATCATTAGCCACAGATTATTTGTTATTTTGTGATCTAGTACAAAGAATCGGGTCAAAAACTTGATATCGAAGAGCCATTGAGCATGTGCAGTGATTGGTACGCATCTTTTTGCCCATGGTATGAATAGTGGATGGGGAAGCTATGAAAAATCCGTTGCGTAACATGCGTCAATTGCGTGCGTGCGGAAACAGTGGACGTTCACCTTTATGAGATATAAAATTCTTAACCTTAATTTTTATAATTTAGTATCTAATAATTATATTGAATAATGATTAATATTACCATTTTATAGGAGTCTATATAGTTGCCCAGCATCAGTAAACCGAGCCACCAGTTGTCGCGGCAGGGTCCCACTTCGTTACCGCTATATCGCTTCCAAAGAGGTCCAGAGCCGAAGTGCTCAAACATAGCGGCTGTGAAGAAAACCACTACAGCGAAACCAACCACCAACCTAGAAAAATATTGTTTTTATTTATTAAACGGAAAATATGCATTTACTAAAACTAAAACACGCGGTTTAATTATGTATATATATTTTTTTAAGAAACACCGTAAGAGGAAATTGTAAAGCAAATTTTCTTATTACGTATTATAAAATGCTGTTAAAATGTTGATTATCCTTGATCATTCTGTATTCACATGCACAAATGTATTCACATGTAAAAAAAAGCTCAAAACGAGAACACGTAATAGATACATATTGAACAACATTACACATGAGTGTGTTGCTTAGATCACAAAATAAGGAGCTGAAACAACACTCAACACATAATAAATTGAGACAACACTTAGAACTGAGACAATATAGAAAAGTTCATTTTCTTCAATGACCCGACCGGGAATCGAATCCGGCGTGTGTCAATCGGTTACGAAAATACTAGCTAATTATTTCTTTAACATTTATCATGAATTTAATGAGTTAATAGAACTTATTTTGATCATGTCCAAAGGTCTCATTATTCAATAGGGCCCTGCGAGATACTTCTGTAACGAATGTCATAGCGCCAATATTCAGGTAAGAGTATGGAAAAGTACAATATGAACACTAGTGAACATATTCTATTATCCTTTATATTGCAGTTTTTTTTTAATAAGACTTTTAAAATGATTTACATAGTTAATGGTAAATCTAGTTCACCGCTGGGAACTTTCTTGGTTGGTTATTGTTTTGTTGGCCATTGAAATGAGCGTGCAAAGGTAGGACACGACATCTTACCGAATATTATGACGGTATTTCGTTTCCTTTTACTACTTTGACATGTCTTTTGGTGGATAAATTTGTAACAAACGACTAACAGCTAGTAGCACAAACATCCATTAATTTTTTCATTATTTTAAAGCGACTTTATCTATACAAATTGAGATTCATTACAGTTTAAAGGCGTCATTAAACGTTAATGGACGTTTGTGCATCTGAACGGTTGTTGGAAACTTTGCTATCATATTCATATTGATAATTCTTGAAACGTGAAAATTAAAAGTAAAAGTAGTAATTAAACTGGAAACTGGCTAGCTGACCACTAAGCTACGGAGGTTCGAGAAAGGATGGTGTAGTGGTAAGACGAGGTTGTATGGATTTACACCTTTTAAACCCATTTTATTCTAAGTGATATAATTAAAAGCACATTCGTGAGTCCATGCATTTTTAATTAATGATGCATCATCTTTTTCCTACTGTTTGTCACTGATATTTTAAAACTACATAACATACAGATAATAATCGAAACTAAATCCCTAGGAAAGAGGTTCAACGATATAACACTAAGGTTATGCTAATGTTAATCAAATAAAAATCATTTTACGATTTAAACGTATGGTAGATTATTCGATTGTTTGCAAAAAACAAATGATGAATCTGAATGCTATTTTGGTTGATCGATTTTACGACTAATATATAACTATCGTACAAAAAGTATTGATTGAAGCATTGAAGTGAGTATTGATATTCTAAAACTATCAAAAGATTTTGTATGACTGCTTTGCTTTCTTTTTCTTTGATTAAAAACGTATGAAATAAATCGAGCGCATGACCCTTGACGCGTATTTGTAAGGAAGCGTTAGCGGAGGTAAAGAGGACTTTAATTCATTAGTTCTCATTGGAAAGCGCATGCGGTATGTCGGCAAACTTATCAGTCAATAGAAACGAACCTTAATCGTTGGTAGCAAATTTTTAAATAACTAACACTTACCGTACGTATCTTCTGACTATCATCACAGCGATAGGAGGTAAAGTTTTTGAAGTTTTAAATTGAAAAAGTGCTTTAGCTGTCAAGAAAGCTGATATCAGGAAAAATGTATCCACTAAAAGGTCGGCATGCAGAACGAACCAACCAAGTATTTTCATATCTTCCTAAAATAGACAAATGTATCCAAATGAATAACGCAAATGCATAAGCAATTTTCATATGGGCCGGTCATAGATCCTCAATTCCTCAGCGTTGCGGAAGGCACGATAAACCTGTGGTTCTAGATGTATCTGCAGTCGATAACATTCAACAATCCACACTTGATCCGCATGGCCCCTTCTAATTCGATTTGATTGGATACCATCTATAAGTAGGGGTTTGAGAACCCCAACTTATTTCGTCTACTGTCCACTTAAAGAATAAATTATTTTTTGTGCCCCCATTTTTTAACAACTATAACAGCAACTATAATTTCTAATGAAATTGATTATTGTGAGCTATATTAGCGCAGATTTAACATTTATTCCAAACGCGACTTACTATTAGTTAACTTGAGACCTAAGCGAAGTATGTAGTAAACAAGTCTCTTGTTAACTCTTCCTAAGCATCTACACAACGTCCCCATTTAGGCCTGCAGCGCCCACAAGAACACTTTGGGAAAGACAGGCTGATATATAGGGAAGGCCTAAGTCCCAGCAGTGGGGACATTATATGCTAGTGAAGTGTGATGATGAATAACCATTTTATATCGTGTGTATTTTTTATATCGTAATTGGGCAGTATATTATATTTACACATGAAACTTCAAATTCCAAGAAGAAAATACTTTGTTTTGCTTTTGCTCCTTATTTATAAGTATACAAATTGCAATAATACCATTGACAAATCACATCTATACTAATATTATAAGACATCGACTTTCTAACTTTATTTGGTAGTTTGCAGGGGTAATCTTCGTCAATACTGACGCAATCATGAAATTCTTTCACCTACGGAACGCTACATTATATGCGGATGATATAAGTTACAATTTATGAAGTTACAGAAAAACGGCCAATTATCATATATTTTAAATTAGTATTGATCTCGAATACTATGTACGTTGATCTTATTTATAGGTCTTATAATGTGTAATTAAAATGGTAGTTCTATAGAAATGTCATTTAGATGCTTTGCGCCGGATCTCAAATGTACAGTTGTTAAGTAACAAGCATTCCTTTTGATGATTAAGTAATTAATTTTTATAACCAGCAAGTAAAATTCTTAAAATTATATTTGATTTATGACCGAAGTTAACAAATGTAAGATTATATTGAACCAAAGTAAGAAAATGCTCAGTGTATCCGGCCTTCATAAATGGAAATTTCTCGACTTTGTTGAAAGATATTTTATAAACGCCTTAATCTTATGCTGTCAAAAATATTACCTACGTCCTTTTTCCTTGTAGCATAAATTTGATTTTTTACTCACATCCATTTCTATTCCGTTACTAATGGGCCCTCCATCAATCAATGCGCCTTGGTGACACATCACGATGCCACAAACTGTAAGATATCTAATGCCGTATATAGATTCAATGCCCTCTTTTTTTAGTTTCAGGAGATCTTTAAAATTTTTTTTAAGGCAAAACGCTTCGCATATCGTTTTTTCTGTAAACAAATCCAAATAGGATCATATTATATACATATTTTTGTACAATAATCAAGTCAAGTCACCATATAAAGCCCATATTACACTACCCAATTTCTAGAGTCCCTTACACTGACGATATTTTTTATTAATATCGTTTGTTACGCTTATGATAATTGTTGTTCTGTTTGTGATTGATTGAGGTAAGGATTGGGAAAGAAGCAATTTAATACTTCTAGCCTAGTATACGCTATTTTTTATTTTTATTTATTTAATTGAATTTTGCTGTGGTGGTGGTAATGTTTATTTGGTTTTGGTTATCTTTTACTTTTTTAAATGTGCTAAATCATCGCGATGAGTTTGAATTTTGTGTTCACTAAGATAATATAAGACTATAAATATCTCTCTCTTAGTCGGTCTCTCGTGATAAGAAATCGTGGTCAGCATCAGGATTGCATCTGTTTCTTTTAATTTTTAAACTTATGAGTTTTACTAAACTAATAAAATAATAGCAAACGACCGCTCTCAGACCTATCGACCCGTGACTGGCGAGACGGTGGTGTCCTTTATTGCTACATGAACAAAATTAGGAAATGTTTCTTCAAAACATGCTTACCAACATGAATTACAAGATTTATATCTCTCGTAGTCAAAACATCGATTTCCTTGACATCGAATTAAATCAAAATGCACTCAAAATTCAATACTGTATTTAAAGTTTCAATTAATTTGAATTCAATATAATTTAAGAACAATTATGCTTGTCTCATATAGCATATAGATTATACATACCAGTCTGAGCACCTTCCTTTTTTCGTTTGTTGTTTTTGATTGTGCACACTATACATATTACAAATAGTGTTGCAAACATCACACTGTAATCGAATAAAAATATAATTAAAAAGAAGGATGACATATCGCCATTATAGTTTACCAAAGCGAAGTTAGAAAGTATTTTTCGCTCTATAGGAAACATTTATTTATTATTAATTTTGTGTTTAACGGACGACTCCTTCAGTCTTTTTATAATGTAGACTCGCCCTGAAAGCTAGGTTGCAGTTAAATAGAAGAAAAAAAATCAGTTTAATAGGCATTTCATTGTAACGATGGATAATTTATATTCAGTGATTTTTTTAGGTAGTGATCCGGTTTCACCTTCTAAGACAATGGTGTGTCGTGTCAGAAAATGTACGTAGGTATAGTATGGTCTCATTTACATTTGCAAATTTTGAACTTTGTGAACATAGCTAAACATAGTTTAGCAAAGTTAAACTTTTTAACATCAAGTATATATATTACATGGAATGAGACGTCATAGGATGAATACGGAACAATCCATATTATTAACAAAGTATTTAGCATGCCTTTCTCCAGGTACCGTGTGTTTAATAAAGCCACTGTATGTTGTTGGATAAGGTAAACAGTGCCCAAATCAGTTCAAAGGATCTTATTAAACTCAAAAATAAAAATCTTTCATACAATCGTTTCACCCTTCTTGACCCTCTTCGGGATATAATCCCCAAAAATCTATACTTAATATACCCCTCCGTAATAATCAGTCAGTCGTCTGTCAGTCAGCATAGCACAGAGATAACCAAAATCCTTTGTTTATCGTGAGGTTTATTATCAAAGCAAAAATCATAGCAAAATACACGATGGCCACAAAATAATTATACAATAATTAATTTTCAATATTCGACAACTCCGTATTGCGTCTTATGCACAAAATAAAGAGTTTATCTGCGAAGAAATCACTAGAGTTCATTTTAACGCACGTAAATGTAGCTACAGCAGGAACCCTACTTTTTCTTCTCACAGTTTCTATTTTCCTGGTACAGGTATAAGTTTCGAAATTTATATCTCAGATTTCTTCTATCATCATCATTACAAAAATATTTCGAATCCGTAGAAATACTAGACGTCACGAAATTTTTATACTTACACGAATGTGTAAAATAAGACATCGAATTGCTTTGAGTCATCAGGTCTCTGACAAGTCTCCTGAACTTGAATACGCGGACGCAGTCCATTTGTGCCAAGGTAGCTGCGCGTCAATACTGTTCCCAATAATCTTTCCACAGATCTCAGTTCACAACAAGCAGGCACACATATGCCCCAGGTTAGATATTTCAGAGTTCGATAATGGGTAGTTTCATGCTGAAAAAAGTTTTATGGAATTCAATAATATAATAATAACAAACATTACTTCATCGAATGATAGACTCCGATTAAATTTCGTTTTTAACTTGGCATTCGACCTTCATGATCCTTCATGACCTTCATGATCAAGCAGCTCGGAAGTTGGTTTGAAAGCGTCTCAATGTGTAAGGTCTCGAGTTGGATTATATTAAACAATATTATAAACGCGATAATAACTCTTTGTCTGTCTTGTATGCTTTCATGTCTAAACCATTGAATCGTTCAAAAGCTAGTAAAATAAACAAAACCTGTATCAATTCCAACGCGTTCCCATAAGGTTCTATCTCATGCAAAGTTTTCTTGTTAACGTGGTTTTTGGTCTCTAGTGCTACATCTACAAGGCAGTACTGAGCTTCTATTCTTTTATTAGAAGTGCTCCATGGATAAGTCATGCATTGATCAAAATTTCCCAGCTGATATCTGCTGCCAGATAATACACCCATTGGTTGGAAAGATTCGGAGTCCCATTCTGTTAAAAAATAGTTGTTTACAAATTTTTACGTACTGGAACTGGGGTGAAGTGTGGGCTTAGAAATAAGATAATTATATTTGTTTATTCTTTATTGTCTTCCGAAACACAAAAGGCAGACTTGATTCCTCTCCAGTCAACTGAATAATAATAAAGCTGAATATGTCCATAAAATTTGGACATTATAAAGTATTATTAAAGGATCTTTACGATTATTTGATATCGCAACAAAAAGTGTATTTCTTTTTAATGTAATGTATTTTTAACTTAAATAAATTAAGAGTATTCTATATTTCTTAATATAAATTTTAATTATTATTTCTTCATATAAATATTAATTATACTTTTAATATTTTTTCGACTGCAGAATTTTCGTGAAACAGGGCTTACAAACCTATCCAAAATAAGAGGAGGATATTCAAATAAATAAAACACAATATTATAAAGGTAGTTACCGAAGTAACATTTGACACATTAATACTCACGCCATACTGCCCACGTCGTAAAATTTTGCAAGTTCTTGATGAAATTTATGGACTCATTCAAACACGGCAGCTCCTCACTAGTCCAATTTTGAGAAGTCAATTCGAACACTAAATCTTTCATAAAATTATAATCACTGGTTTTCACATTTCTATCCTCCAACTCATTTTCATTACTTTTATTTTGATGTATCTGATAAAAAATATGGGGTGTGGTTGTTTCCAATTCAGCATTATTATCAACAGTCACATAGGCATAGTTTTTAGTACAGGTAATAATTAAAAAGGTTAAGATAATGATAATTGTCATGTTTAGTTCGAAAGTGAGTGAGACTTGAAAGAAAATTCAGTTATTTAAATATATATAGGATTGCGTAATTCGTGTTTTGTACTTGTTTTGGAATACGAGTTGCGCGCTAGCGAAAAAGTTGTACATAAGTAACAAGGTAAGGTAGTTACACCACATAAAGGTAATAAAGGTTAAAGCGATAGTATATGGTAGCGAATTTGATTAACCTTGATATGTATTTATGCAATATCATCAATTTTCCACCTTAAGAAGATTCTGCGTTCACAATGCTATACTGGAAAATTATCTTAATGAAAAATGCTAAGAAAATCATCTTTGTCCCTGGTGACAAAATTATTTTTCGAGTTTTTTTTTTTCATGTGAACGAACTGCGAAGGAGATGGTGCTTTAATCCATACTTCCGTACTAATATTATAAATGTGAAAGTGTGATTGTTTGTCCGTCTTTCAAGCCAAAACGTAGCAACGGAGCAGTGTGATTTTTTAATGTGGAGATAGTCAAAGGACTGTAGTGTGACAATGGCTACTTTTTGTCTTTTTCTATTCCTCCACATCCCCATAAAATAGTGGAAATTTGTATGGAGCATTCCGCAATTTTCAAGGCAGAAAGTTAAACCTTGATATGTGGACTCTTTGTAGCTAAGGAATAATATATGTTATGCATATTTTTTTTAAATCTACCCCTATATCTTTTAAGGGTAAAAGAGGTGGTGAAATTTTATATTGGACTTTCTGTAGTGTTTAAGGTAGAAATTACTAAATACGTTTATCCTTTCCCTTTGGAAATCTGCCCGCAACCCACTTAAACCCCCCAAAAGGTGGGGTGATAGTTATTACACAACTTTCTACAATTTTCATGGTAAACAGTTGAAAATTGGTATACAGACTCTTTGTTGCAAACAAAAAATATTATTTTTTAGATATTTTTCCCCAGAACGCTAAAAATGGGAAGGAAAATTTTTATGGGACTGTGCGCATTTTTCAATGTGGAAAGCTGACTATTAGTGAACAAGGCTCTTTGCTACAAATAAATAATAAAATTATTTATATAAAACAGTATTGACATATTAAATACAAACAAGTTTTGTGAAAATAAAATGAACATCAAAAGATAAGAAGGATTTGTTACCCGCGGTTTTCGATATATGGCGCTACTACATTTTGAAAAATGTTTGTTATAGCTTTTTAGAAATGCTGCCAAAAGTAATGATACCACGTGGACGAAGTCGCGGGCAAAAGCTAGTTCTAAATAAAAAATAGCCCATGTTCTTTATTGTATTGTTTTTAGTTATATTGTAAGTAATTTATGAATTCTGTTCACTAATAATATTATTATAGGTGTATAGACATATTATAAGAACAAGTAGGTAATAATCATATGTGTGTGAAATTAATAAATTAACTCAGTAGTATATATCTAAACTTGAATTTGAAAAAGGCAACATAGTTTGGAAGAAAAATTATCCTATTAGTTCTTCAGATAAATATTTTTCATCCAAATTAGCAACTAAATTTACAAAATGTATTATAATTAACAAAGGCATTAATTTAAGATTTAGCAGATTTGTCAAATAAACCTTTAGGACGCTGGCACATGCAAAATATTAAACCCATATCTAAACATTATTAATCTATTTATTGTTACTCCCTGTAAATATTCATAACGTACTTACATATTTAACTATGTGGCTACTCATACTTATTGTTAGTTGTATTCATAATTTATTATTTTCATCTAGTGCGGATGACAACACTATAAATAAGCCAATATGAAATATTTATTTGTGTACTTATATACACTTATTTACTTTGGTACTTATAATCTACACTACATAATGTATTACTACTTAGTGTATTACCTAATATATTTATTACTACGATTATAAATTATTCTACACTCTACACTTAGACACTTATACAACACACTCATCTACACCCAACAACACTACAAAATTCATCTAAAGTAAGCGGGTAGTGACTGACATTCTTTTAAAAAAAGCCCACACTATTTTCTAGGTTGATTTATTAGAGATAATTGATGATTAAACGAACTTACCTGTAAGTGAAGTTCTATCAAATTTATACGAAGGCTTCGTCCGAAGAGATTAGCAAGAATCATGTTAACACTTGTAGTATCGCGCAGTGATCGCCGTTCTTGCTTATTTTACTATATTGAGAGTACACTTGGTTGTGGATTCCTTTGCTTTTTTTTTTAGTTTAGCTGTCATACTGACATCCAGACTTACCGCGCATTTGCTGTCATTTAGTTTAGAGTTCAAATTACATACATATTTCACGTCGGGGTGGGTATTCGTGGGTGGGTTGCTAATTTCTTCGGACGAAGCCTTCGTATAATTATGATAGAACTTCACTTACAGGTAAGTTCGTTTAATCATCAATTATACTCGGCTTCATCCTTCGAGATTAGCAAGAATCATGTTAACACTTGTAGACCTTTAGAGATGATCGTGAAATATGTTTGTTCCTGGTCGCTGAGAAGAAAAAATAAAGAAAAATCCTATTTCAGTAATATTTTTAATAAGTTTAATTAAAGCTCTTCCAATTAATCAACATTATATAATTTTTTAAACAATCAGTAAACACTTTTATGTTTCCATACAATTGTTATTTATTATTGCATTAGCAAAGGACCCATTTGATAAATCAGATGTATTCAACGGCCTATTGTAAAATTTAAAAAAAAACGTTTGAGGAGGCACTTCAGCCAGCCGTTTTTCTAATGATATCTAAATTTACACCAAGTCGATGAGCGTGTGAGACAGCAGCATGTCGAGCGCTGTGCGCTCCAAATATCGCCGCGGGTAAATATTCCGCTCTCTTGCAAAGTACTGCGAATCCATCGGCTTAACGTCTGGCTGGAGACAACTCCATGACCACGTCTAAAACTTATAAACAATGAATTTATGTTACCACGTAGTGATTGGGTTCGATTAAGGTAATCTTGCATTGCTCTTCCAGGGCATATTTCTGGTTTTTCATTAAAAAAGGGTAAGACTAATAAAGGATAAGGTGTACCGATTCGGGAGTGTTTTAAAATATCTGTTATTTTAATAGTAATACGGGAAAACGAGACTGTTATATTTTCAATTTTTATTTTTGAGAAAGTTTGCACTCTGTGTGCTGTAATTAATGCCAAAAGTGTGATTACTTTCTTTGAAAGTTTTTCGAGTGATATATTATCGTGCGGGTAAAGTTTTCCTAAATAATTTAATACTATAGCCGGGTCCCACGTTGTATCGTACTTAGGAACCGCGGGACGTAAACGAAATATACCCTTGAAGAATCGCTTAACATATTGATCAGTTCCAATATGATCTCTTAAAATCAAAGAGAGAGCAGAACGGCAAGAATTTAAGGTGCCGTACTGAGCTCCTTCATTATATAAATAAGTAAGAAAACTAAGAACATCTTTGACGGAAGTGTCATATAAATTAATATTTTCCTTAAGACAAAAGTTATACCATTTCTTCATATACACATCATATTGTTTTATTGAATTTGGTGATAGTGACGCAATCATAATATCGAAAGCTGATGTAGGAGTATTTCTTTTGAAGAAAGCTGTCCGGATAAGATCGCGGCAGCCAGGGTAACTTTGGTGAACACCTCTCGACTGCTGAAATGAGGCGAAACAATTGGGCTCTCTTCTGGTCTGAATAATAATATTTTTGATGATACTAAGCTTTTATAAATGGGAAACCAGGGTTGTGTAGGCCATAGGGGCACTACCATGACGCCTGTAGCATTATCTGTAACTATTTTTCGTAAGACTTTAAGAATTATTGAAAATGGCGGGAACGCGTAAAAGTAAAAACCATTCCAATCGATAGTAAAAGCGTTGACAGTGTAAGCCTCTGGGTCTCTGTGCCAGGAGACATACTTATCGCACTTTGTATTTACTCTACTTGCGAATAAGTCTATTTGAGGTGTTCCAAAATTTTCAACAATTTGTCTGAAAGCTCTAGTAGATAACTCCCATTCAACATCTGAATGTATTCAATATCAGCTTCTTTATTATCGATAGAACTAATATAAGAGGCATAAATAAATATGTTTCGTTTTTCGCACCACTGCCATAATGATTTAGTTACTTCTGTCAAATGTGGATACTTAATGCCCCCCATCCGGCTAATATAAGAGATAGCGGTCGTGTTGTCAATACGCAATAATATTTGACGATTGCATAATTCTTTGGCAAAAGTTTTTACTCCGAAATATGCTGCTAATATTTCCAAATAATTAATGTGCAAACTACGTTCTTGTTCATTCCACTGACCGCTAGCTCTTTTATTGCCACAAGCCACTCCCCATCCCGTATTTGAGGCATCTGAAAAAATCTCCATGTCATAAAAGTCAGATTTAATTTTATTAACGGAACATGATATTGCTTGTTGCCACCATTTTAAATCTGGTAATATAGCTGTGGGAATATTCATGTATTTATCATAATTAACATTAGATTTTAAATTAAGAAATTTTATACGTTCAAATAATTTGGTATATAACCAACCATACTCTATAACTGGGCAAGCTGAGACAAGTAAACCCACAAAACTTGCAAATTTTCTTATTTTACACCTATTTATTGTAAGAAATTTATCTATTTCTTTTTTGATACGACAAATCTTTTCAGGTGGTAAAGTGACATGAAGATTCTTTGAGTCTATAATATAGCCTAAAAACAAACAATGGTTTTTAGGAGTAAAAATACTTTTTTTCATTGTTTGATAGGAAGCCTAAGGATGTGAGCAGACTTTGGGTTTGTTCAATGTTTTTTAAACATAGCTCATAAGAATGTGCTACAAGAAACCAGTCGTCTAAATACACAGTGGATAAGTAACCAGCAGAGCGAAGAAGCTTAGCCACATGTTTCATTATTTTCGTAAATACGAAGGGCGCCGTACTAAGACCGAATGGCAATACGTTAAATTCGTAAATATCTTTACCCCACTGAAAGCGAAGATACTTTTTAGAATTTGGAAGTATTTTTATAAAATAATATGAATCTTTTATATCAAGTTTAGCCATATAAGAATTCTTAGATATTAACTTTATAGCTGTTCTAAAGTCTTCAATTTTGAAATGTTCTACATCAACAAATCTATTTATTTTTTTTAAATTAAGGATGAATCGCATTTTGTCATTCGGCTTAGGCACTAAAAAAATGCTAGATAGGTACTGTCCTTCACATGGTTCACATTTTGAAATAATACCATTTGAAAGTAATTTATTAATGGCAGTTTTATACTTGACTTCCTCATCTGAAGAAAGGTGTCTACCAGGAGGAGCTTTTGTTTGAAAAACAGGGCGAGAAAAAGGAATTTCGTAACCTTGAATGAAGGACAGTATTGTCGGGTTACTAGTAATAATGCGCCATTGATCATAAAATAGGGCTAATCTACCAGCATAATTTACCGGTGAAGATGACGTCGATGTAGTTGCCGGTATTAGCGCCGACTGCGCATATTTTGCGACTGTTTCGAGGAGCTGATGTGCTGATTCTTCATTGACCTCGAAGAAGCTGTCTCCTTTGGTTTCGAAGATATTGGTTGTTTGCGAACTTGATTTGGAATTTTCCAGTTTTTTGAAGGATAATTTTTATTTGTAGTTGGCTTCGGTGCCATAGCTGCTTTTAGGTCTGCTCCAGTCTTATGAATGGCTTTAGCAGTATTTAATGTATCGGCTAATTGCTGTCCAAATAAAAAGTTATCAATTTTAGAATTTTGTAGTGATTCCTTCATTTCTTTTTTTACTGAATAAATAATGAAATTACGCCTAGTTATAGAATCATTGTGCTGACAGTCACATATTATACGCCCAGTGTCAATAAGTAGACGAAACAAGTCAGTATTCTTTTCTTTGCTTGAAAGCACAAGGTTGATAGCTTCCCCTAGACTTGAGAGAGCAGATGCCATTAAGGATTGTTTGTATTCAATAACTTTATCACGTTTTATAACCATCTCAGACAAGGCAATCTTTGTTTCTGGGTTCAGAGTTGGTGCGCCAATTAATTTGCAGCTACCAGGTATCAAATATTTATCTGTTAGTTTCTTACGATCATTTTTACAGAAACCACTTGTTGCCACATGTTCAAAGCGTACAGCAACATCTTTATGAATATCTTTTCCATATTTATCCATCTTTGTGGGATCTATCCCCAGAATCTGCATTAACTCAGAGTTTAACTCACCAGATTCATCAACAGGCACTTCAGGCACACCATTGTAATCATCTCCTGTCTCTTGTGTCAACATGCCTAGTTGCATTTCGCATGTTGGCATATCAACTTGTAGAGTGGTAATTTTTTCTGCTTCTGTTTCATGACGTACAGGACTCAACAATGTACAGTCTGAAATATATGTTATGATTAAAGATATTGCATCATGCAAATAATGTTTAAATAATCATTAAGTATTAATCAATTAGATAGTCCTAAACATGTTTTATGTTTAAATAACTCTTAATTAAGCCTTTGCAGCAAAAAATAAATATTAATAGCCATTAATTGTAATAAACGGCACGAGACAACCCCACAGATTGTCCACAATACCAATTTCAATTAATTACTTGTTATATTTTGAAATAAACTTTTAGAGTGAAGAGGCAACCCTCAAGCTACCCGCAACACTTTAACAAAAGTTACGAAACAGTTCCACAGACTTCCCGCAATACCAATTACAATAACTTGTTATTGTATGATGACAAGTCATTGAATTGTTTCAGTGAAGAGATAGCCCCTAAGGCTATCCGCAACACTTATACTCAACGGCATGAGACAGCCCCTCAAGCTGCCCGCAATACCAATCTCAATAATTTTATGAGAAATCGTTTTTTACTAACCGTTGGTGTTTGACTCTTGCGATGATATTGATGAAGATGAAATACGTCTGATGCGTCGATTTCTTCCTCGTAATTATTCTTCTATTTTTCTCAATTTTCTTTTTAATTCATCGTAAGCTTTGTGTGTTGTGTGTTTTCGTTTAGGCATTTTGATAAATTTAAAGAATATATGCCTGACGGCGGAGCACTAAAACGCGAATGACAGCAAATGCGCGGTAAGTCTGGATGTCAGTATGACAGCTAAACAAAAAAAAAAAG